TCGGCCACGCAAACAACGGCGGCAGCGTTGGCGTCGGCGTTGGCGTCAGCGTTGGCGGCATGTGTGTGTCTGTGTCCAAAAGAGTTGGATCTACTGGCGGCACTGGTGCACTGATGATGCAACTGGAGGGGGAAAGCCAATCTCGATCAATGTTTACCTCACGGGGACTGGCGCCGATGAGTGTGCGCCGAGAGTGAACTCGAGAGAAGAGCTATTTTTGACAGCCTTCGGCAGAAGAACAACTTAGCACTGGCAGTGACTGAGTCAGTCGGTGAAACCGACCAGTGCTCTCTCTTTCCTTTTCTCTTGCCAGTGTTGTTGCCTTCAATAGCGAGATCAACATCAATCGCCGCTACTCACGTTCATGTTGCCTTCTTCGGCGCAATGCTCCTGTTTGCTACCCTCTCCTCTCCTGAAGACTGGCTACTCTGACTTTCATCCCTAATCACAGTTCACTTATCAGACGGTCAACATGTACGGCTAGTCAGACGCAAATCGTCGCCTCTCGGCCAGTGTCAAGGTGTCTGTTGGCCGCCAGCACCCTCAGCACCACCAGCACCATCACTAGCAGCAGCAGCAGCAGAATCGTCGGCTGCCACCACCTCCACCAGCTAGCCGAAGGCATCATCGTCGGAGCATCGTCTTTCACAGCCCTACAGCCAACAGCCAACAGCAGCAGTAGTGGCAGTAGTCAGGAGCGCAGTTCCCAGTCTGGCTCATCCGCCAGCCAGGGCTTGCTATATTGCTCCCTTGTATATCCCACCAAGTTGCTTGCCAGTGTGTCCGCGCCGATGCCTCGGACCACCGCCACCACCGTCACTGTCACTTCTCCATACACACACACACTCACGCACACACTCGTAGCAGATGACTTGACTCTGCGCTAATTCTGTTGCTCCTGGTTCAGCACAACATAGAGCACGACGACGACCACCGCCGCCGCCACCAGCGCCGTTGTCACCACCAACCTCCTCACACTCCTCCACTTGTGTTCAACTGTTTCACTCAGGCAAGCACTTTGTCCCGAAGTATTTTTTATTGTTGCCGATATTATTTATTCAAAAAGACAAAGTATTAAATATTGCTACCAATTGCAATTGCACCGCCTGATAGTGCATTCCCTAATCTCAGCCACCATTTTTCATGGGCGTTATTACTTTATGGCACCCGTTTAAATACTCACTTTGCCACCATATTGTCGACGCCAACATATAAGCCGCGAAGATGATTTTGGATAATCTCGTCAGCGGAGAAGGCTTGGAGAAACTGGCGGGCACCGCCGAGTCTGATCATGCCTCACTGGCCTTCACCGCTGACAAATTCTGCACTCAGGCGATTCGCAATAAGGAAGGTAGTAAAAATCACTACCAAACACTGAAGACCCTTCTCCGCACTACTCGCATCGGCATCAACGATCCAGTTCGCCGCACCTTCTGGATCGACCTGACGCTCGCCTTCAACCCGGCCAACAATGCCGATGACTTTGACTCTCAGTTTGACAACATGACAACTAACAAGTTGCCTAAATTTGTCGACCCTTCAAATGCTCGCTACTATGCCCTCAATCCCAAGGCTCGTCGACATGTGTCCACCATCCTCTGGAATCTGGCGCAATGTAAGTCACCATTTGTTGCCTAGACATACTGTCCACACTGCCGTCTTTTCCCCTTCCCTGACCTGTCTAACTCTATCTCTCTCTCCCTTCTTCCTCTACTGCCTTTGCAGCATATCCGCAAATTACTTTTGCCCCATTGCTCTATCCCCTGGTCTCACTCTTTCTGCACTACCACCGTCCACCGGACGTGTACCGCTGCATTGTGGCTCTGGTAAGATGATCCGCCTTTTCGCTCTCCACTAATCCCCCTTTGCCCACACTCACTCAATACCCGTGTCTTGCAATTACGACAGTTGTCACAACGCAAAACGAAGTATATCAGCCAGTCGCGCACCGACAAGTCACGGGATGCATTTGTGCTCGTCAAACTAACCAACAAGTTTGGCTTCTTCAGTCGTGGCAAATTTGCCCCGGTTCGGGATAAGCTGAAGAACAATCTTCTGGACGCAGCCTACGCCGACTGGATTCAATGTAAGTTCCAACGGAAGTCTCCTTTCCTCGACTCTCTCTCCCTCTCTCCAGTCTTTTCCTATGTGCGCTCTCTAGTGCTGCTGGTGTGGGCAAGAATGCGAAATCGCCCGAGGTGGGTGCTATAAAAGCGCAAGTACACTTCACTCCAGTCAAGCACTGCCTTAATTAGTCCAAGTGTGATTGTCATTTTATTGCCTTTCTGCAAACAAAGTGTTCCAGTGAGAGGCTTACCACTGTTTAGCAGGTGCCATCACCCACCACTGCGGGCACCAGGCAGCAGCTTTTATCGGTCGCCACACCGTTAGTCCCCCAATCACTGTGTTTTGTGTCGCTGACCGTACAGCAGTGTCTGTGACAATCGATCAACACACTTGCAAGAAAGTGGTCTTTATCAGCATTTTACAGCCCGTTCCAGTGCTACTTACTAAATGTATGAAAGTATACACACTCTATTTAATTTAGTGCAGAAAGGCCATAGAGTAAAGATTTACCAACAGCCTCCATGGCAACCTATTCTGGAGGAAAATCAATGGCAGAGGGTTAGAATAATGGAAAGATTTTGAAATGTCAAGTGTAGTACATTTATATAGAGACTCAACAACTCATAAGCTCTTTTATCTTTTACCAGGGATTTTCGCTTCATTGCCCTTTCACCACTGCGTTCGCGTGGTGGACTGCTACCTGCTGGAGGGAGAAAAGTTTCTCTATCGGATCGCACTGGAACTGGCATTGCAGTTTGAAAAGCACCGCAAGAAGCCAGCCACACTGGAAGAGATGCGAGAGTTCTGCGAGAACATTGCCGAGTATGTGACTCCCTCGCAGCTCATCTCCAATGCTTCGAAGCTCTCACGACTGTCGCGCAAAGGTTTGACCTTCTCGAATGACTTTCACTCGAGACTTGATGTACTGACCTTGCACCTCGACACCCGCAGACATCCAGCGACACCGCAACAAGGCTGAAAAGCGAAGTGACAGCATCAGCATGACCGAATCACCCTTCCTAGGACGACCAGGTAACCTCTTGCTCTTCTCATCTTGCAAACATTTGCGCTAACACTCTTCTCTGCCTCTTCTCACTTTTAGATGTCATTCGCCCCAAAGACTATGTATTTGGCACTCGCGTTGGCCCTCGCAAGTTCAAGTCGTCAGTTCTGACGTGGAACCAAATTGACAGGCTGTGGGAGTGGATTCCAGACCGTATCTTCGTGCTCGAGCCAATCATTGTCTTTTGTTCGGATGAAAATGGTTCGTTTATCAGTGTGACTACTCTTTTGCGTCATGTATTTTTTCAATTTTAGGAAACTCCCTAAGCACCTTCTTTTCACTCTGTGGTGAAAATGAGCCCGTCATTATACTTATCAAGACACTGAAGAACGAGGTATAAAGCAAGGAACACTTTACCTAGTTCAGTGACCAACAGCAACCTGTTCCATTTTGCCATTTAGGTCTTTGGTGCTTACTGTTCGGCAGCCTGGTCTAAGCGATTTGAATCGATCAAAGCGGGTCAGTACTTTGGCAACGGGGAGACCTTTCTGTTCAGTCTGGCGCCGAACATGGTCAAGTATGACTGGGTGGGCAAGAGCCGCGACCCCTCTGAGCTGTCCCACTCGCAGCAGCTCTTCCAGGCAGCCACCAACAACTCCTTCACCATCGGCGACGGCGGAAGCATGGGCCTCTACGTGGGCGAGAATCTAGCCCAAGGCGAAACGAAGCGCTGTGCTACCTTTGAAAACGAGCCGCTCACCTGCTCGGACGAAATCGACTTTGACATTTCGGTCGTTGAGGTGATTGCCTTCTGCTGAAAGTGAACCGGTGCACTACCAAACCGAATTCTCCTTTGCTTCTCTTTCTCCCCGGTCCACTCCTNAGGCGAAACGAAGCGCTGTGCTACCTTTGAAAACGAGCCGCTCACCTGCTCGGACGAAATCGACTTTGACATTTCGGTCGTTGAGGTGATTGCCTTCTGCTGAAAGTGAACCGGTGCACTACCAAACCGAATTCTCCTTTGCTTCTCTTTCTCCCCGGTCCACTCCTGCGTGACCACTATCACAAGCATCATCATTCCCACCACCACCACCACCACCACACTTTGTTCTCCCACCTTGTNTCCTGCGTGACCACTATCACAAGCATCATCATTCCCACCACCACCACCACCACACTTTGTTCTCCCACCTTAATTTCCCATTCCCCGTTTTTATGTTCTCCTTTTTCCTTTTTAACTGCTTCTCTTTCTTTTACCTATACCTCCAATCCTCCCACTTACCATCCACCGAAGCCACGATTGCGAACCGAACACAAGTCTTTAATATAATAACTCGACGATGTATGTCACACTCAATGATGGGTGATGAGCATTTTAACCAAACTGTTTGCTTGTTGTTCACTCTCTCTCTACCCTTCTTGACACTCTTGCTTTTATCCACCTTCCTTGGGCAACTGCCTCAATGATCATTCTTGTTGTTTGCTATTCATTCAATTAACATGGCAACTGTGTATTTTTATTTGCGTTTTCTATGATACAGCCCAGGTAGTGTTCTCTCTGTTCCCACGCGCCCGAGGTCACCCTATTTATTACTACATTGTCTTTCTCCTTCTCTTTAAGTTTGATTATTTGTTTTTACATTTTTATTTATTTATTTTTTACCATCAATCTGTAAAATCCTCTAGATTTCCCCTATGACCGATTTTATTTTTATATTTTTGATTATAGTAGAAAGAAAACAAAACTTAGACGAATCATATCTGCGTTTTATTTAGTAAACAAATAAATGGTTTTGTTAATACGTGTTTTTGGTGTTGACACTTAACAAGAAAAGTGTTTAATGAACGGAGGATAACAGTGATTCAGGAAATGCAATGCAGGAAGAGTTGTGTATTTACATTTTATAAGCGCAGTGGCTGTACCAGTTCTTCAAGTCGCAATGACCATGTTCTTATTTGTTTTATTCGAAGAACGATTGTTGCACTTTTTCAGCGCCTCACTGTGCACCTTGTACTCCAGAATGATGGTGGAAGGAAGGTTTAAAATGCGTTTGAGAGTTTGATTAATCTTCGTTTTGATTTCCTGATCGTGACCGCTTCGGTTCCAGATGCAGATGTAGTCTTCTGCAATGGACAAAAACAAATGAGCAAAGTTCGAGCGCTTTTTCAGACAAATGATTTTGATAAATTACCGTAGAATCTGCAGGCCACCACGATGCCACAAATGTCGTCGCCAACCATAAATTGCTCACCTTAAAGTTAAAATCGCATAAGAAATTTATTGAAAACTAATAGGCTAAAACATACCGATGAAGGCAAGCAATAGATTTTCCCAGAATCTCGAAGCTAGTCCTGAAAAGATATTGATTTTGTAAGACACCATTTATCATAAAAAGTAGCATACCTTTGCGCAATCTCAACTTCCACATTCCACCGTCGCGATTTGCTGGATCCTAAAGGGACAAAAGTCGTTAACAATNTTTTCCCAGAATCTCGAAGCTAGTCCTGAAAAGATATTGATTTTGTAAGACACCATTCATCATAAAAAGTAGCATACCTTTGCGCAATCTCAACTTCCACATTCCACCGTCGCGATTGGCTGGATCCTAAAGGGACAAAAGTCGTTAACAAGTAATGTAAAAAATGAAACATTGTGGTACTTGCCTCCCACAGTGGTTTGATGCCCGATTTGAAAACATGAAGATCACAGTGGCCAGTAAGATCATTTGGACGAACAAGGTGCGTGTACACCGACCAAAAGCTCTGTACAGTGTCAAATGAGGCGACGATTTTCAAGTTTTGATCATAGTTTTGCGAGTTGGGCACCACTTTTCCGCGATTAATGCCGCGAAACCAAACATCGTATTTGTGCTGCAGAGGCTGTAGAGAAAAGNAGTAAGATCATTTGGACGAACAAGGTGCGTGTACACCGACCAAAAGCTCTGTACAGTGTCAAATGAGGCGACGATTTTCAAGTTTTGATCATAGTTTTGCGAGTTGGGAACCACTTTTCCGCGATTAATGCCGCGAAACCAAACATCGTATTTGTGCTGCAGAGGCTGTAGAGAAAAACACCAGCTGTGGTCACAAAAACGCCAAGACGTGTCAACCCTTGCAAAGTGCTTACCTTTAGCTCTTTATCACCCATAATGTGGAATACTTGAAGGTTGACAAATCTGGTGAATAAAAGAAGAACTGGTGCTTAAGTTTAGTTTTATCTTTCTAGTCAAGAATAAGGCAAGATGTCTGCGCGTAAAAACAACTTGAGTACTGTGCGTGCCACAACAAAAAAAATCTTTTTGTGAGCTAATGCAAACTGCAGCCACTCGTGGACAGATGGCGCAGCCTGGAAAACAAAAGTGAAAAAAAATCTGCTGACAAACATCTTTGACAAGAATCGTTGTTGTCAACCGGACTGAGAAGTTGCCTCTCTTATCAGCACACTAGTTAAGAACTACCGAAGAAAAGGCGTCGTCAGAATGTCCAATACAGAGTGGACAAACAGCGAAGCAAGTTGTAGCAAGTTGGCGTTGAGCGAACTGGGCTACATCAATGATCCATTCATAAAGCTCTTTGGGTTGCATCCACTGAAGAGAACACCGGAAATTAATCGCGGTTACTATTACCGCACTGCAGCCATTTCCCACGTTGTGCACTCCTTTTGCAATCGTGAAGGCCCCACTGCCCAGGTCGTCAACATTGGCGCTGGCTATGATACTCTTTTTTGGCGGTAATTTTTCATTATTTTTTCAAGTTCTTTGTCACTGACTCTACTACCTTTTTTTAAACAGAATGAGCGCCGATTCTACGGTCAACTTTGCTAGATTTGTGGAGGTTGATAGTAATGAAGTGGTGGGACACAAAATCAAGATTATTAGAGAGCATGAAAGTCTTCTGCAGCACTGCGGCGCTGTTCAATCATCAGCAAATTCTGCCGCTGCCCTAAACTCGGAAAGATATCATGTCATTGCCCAAGATGCCACCAAAGGACTACAGCTCGTCAACAAGTTGGTGAAAAACTGCCAAATTAACAAATCTGAGCCCATACTATTTATCTTTGAGTGCGTCCTCCTCTACTGGAACGAAGAGGCAAGGACAAACCTGCTGTACACTCTAAGCAAGTCATTTCCCAAATGCAACTTTGCCGTCTTTGATCTCGTCAATACGGGCGACAAGTTTTCCGAAGTGATGCAGCAGTCGCTGTCAGAACACGACACACCCCTTCTGGGCGCCTCTTCCACACGCACTCTAGACGACTGGAAGCAGCAGTTTGAAAAGGCAGGCTGTGCCCACCTGAATGCCTGGCTAATGACTGACGTGTTCGAGCACCTGATTGACGCCGATGAGAAGGAGCGCATCGAAAAGATTGAGTTTCTAGACGAAGTAGAACTTCTGACCCAGCTGTTTAACCACTACTGCATTGTTCTAGCTAGTAATCACACGGAGATAAACTGGTAAAAAGCGCGGCGTTTGCTTGAAGCTTTCAAATAAAATAAAAGTTGTGTGTGTTCTACGTGTATCCGTTGTTTGTGAATGTGGATGAAGGTCGCATCGGTCTGAAAACAGATGTAACCAAACAATTTTTGTGATTGTCTGTTTGCCCTCGTTGCTTCAGTAGTTTTGACCCGGCAAGATGAATCGCCTTGCACTCAAGTCCATCGAGAGACTTCTCTTGGTATGTCCTCGAAGGTTCTTCAATGCAAACATTGCTAACAATTTTTTCCCTACAGAAGAATCACACTGTTCCCAGCCACCAGCGGTATTATTCTTCGCAAAACTCCTCGTAAGTACTTTAATCATTTAAAACTGCATTTTGTGTAATTTGGTTACCATCAATTGCAGAAAGATAAAGGTTTCACTGGTGGCCGGCTCTGGTGTTGTTGCAGCCACTACCCTGACGCTGCTTTACGCCAAATATGACAAAAACTTCCGTGATCAACTGTCGGCGTATTTGCCTTTCATCAACAGCATTCTCTCGGAAAATCAGCAAAAACTAGCTGAGGCCTCCAAGTTTGATGACAGCTTTTTGAAGAAGAAAACAGTCCCATCAAAATCGCTAGAAACAAAAATATCCGAAAGTGCATTCTCGTTGCCACAAGTGGAAGTATCCAAGCCGGTTTCTGAAGCGAAGCCCGCTGAACCAGTGAAAGCCGCCCCGGAAAAAGATGACCTGGATGAAAAGAGTATCAAAAAGGAGATTGCTGCTACATTTGAGAAGGCTATCAATGAAGAGAACGTCAAGGTATTCATTGTTTTTTGGTCGACGTGTCTTTACAATAGCTCTCATCGATAACACTTTCCTTTTCAGATAACTACAGGCCAACAAGACGGGGAAAATGAGCTGAGAATTCAATTGAAAAGACAACTGTATGTCTTCCAGGAATACTTTAAAGAGCAATTTATTCTCTACAAAACTGAATTGAAACGCAAGCTGGAAACTGACCTTAAAAATAAGGTTCTTCAAGAAAAGGCTAAAATTGCCGACGACTATGAAGAATCATTCAAGAAGCTCAAGCAAATGGAGGCATTGCTGCAGGGTAAGTTTGAAAACCCAATATGTTATATTAAATGATGACTAATACAATTTCTGTTATCTAGTTCGAGATCAACTAGACAAACAGGAAAAAGCCACCAAAAGTCTTTGGCTACTGAGTCAGGCGTTGACGCTGCTGATGGAGCACAATCGTAGCCGTTTGGACAAGGAAAGCAATCCAATTCAAATTGAACAGCAAGTGGAATGCATTCGAAAGGTGATCAAAGATAACTTTCCGGAAGAATCTTTAATTCAGATTGCCCTGGAGAGTCTGCCTGAGAACGCTGTTAAGAATGGCGTTTACAGTGAAGAAGACCTGATTCGACGATACAACAAGGTGGAGAAAGTTTGCAACCACGTTGCTCTGGTGAATAGTGATTACACCACTCTGTTTGGATATCTCAAATCATTTGCCTACGCCTACATTCGGCCGTTTAAGGATCTTGAATTCAGCATGAGCTCAAACCCAATTCAAGTTAAGCAAATTTCGCAGAAAGAGCTCGATGGAACCCTGGAGGTGGATCCGAAAAGCTGGGACACCTATGACATTTTGAATCGCGTCAAGCTCTCTATTGAGAACCGCAATCTTGAAATGGCATTGCGATACGCCAATCAGCTCACTGGTGAGCCGCGAAAGGTGGCCAAGGACTGGATCAGAGACACGAGAGAACACCTCGAGGTGAAACAGGCGGTCACCTTGATTCAGTCCAAGATTGCGGCCATTAATCTTCATCAGCTGACATTCACCAACTAAGTGAAGTCACAGAAGAGTTGTTTTGTTGGTTATTGGTTATTTTCCCCAATAGTATCGCTTAACGAATTTCGCTGTACACTCTCTACTATACATTACTATTTATTAATGTGCCCGATTTTCTNACATTCACCAACTAAGTGAAGTCACAGAAGAGTTGTTTTGTTGGTTATTGGTTATTTTCCCCAATAGTATCGCTTAACAAATTTCGCTGTACACTCTCTACTATACATTACTACTATTTATTAATGTGCCCGATTTTCTCATTTCCAGTAACCGGAAACTAGCAATTCCAAAATTAAAAATTGTTTTAATTTCAAAGCAGTCCATGTACCGATGAAGTTGTTGAGTGCAGTGCTCGTAGCGCCGCCGCCGCCGTCAGTGAAAGCGACATTGCACTGCCGCTGCACTGCAGCCTCCAGCAGCAGCATCAGCATCATCATCATCACCGCACAGTGTGCACACTCCTGCCGGCGACTCGTCTGTTTTCCTCGTGTGCTTTCCTCAGAATGAAGTGCCGCATTCTTAGGATTCTGTGGTGTTGCCTACTGCTCACCGCCTACTGTGCACAGGCCAACGATGTCACCGGATGTGGGGGCTTTGTAGTGTCCAGTGTGAACATCAACTACTCGCCCATCAAGATTAAGCTGTATGCACTCGCTTTCCAAACTTTTGCCATTTTTCATCACCCTTTGTCCATATTAGGTACACGGGCCAGGGTGTGCTCAAGTTTCAGACTGACTGTGCTCCCAACAATGGCTACTACTTTATCCCTCTTATGGAGAGTCACGGAGATTACGTGGTCCAGATCGAAGGCCCTAAAGGATGGAGCTTTGAGCCGACGCAGGTGCCGTTTTACTTTGACGGCAAGACAGACATTTGCTCCAAGCAAACGGACGTCAATTTTGTGTTTAAAGGATTTTCAATTTTTGGAAAGGTCAGTTGGTTCATTGAAGATAATTTTAAACTAATCAAGTTGACATTTTTCCCAGGTGTTTAGCTCCAGTTCTTCAAATGGGCCCAGCGGAGTGCAGGTGACTTTAAAGGCAAACAATAACGTCATCAAGCACAACACGACACAGCTCAATGGACTATTCACGTTTACCGATATTCTTCCAAACAAGTACGTTATAGAAGCTTCTCACGAAGACCGAACGTTTGAGCAGAATCGCATTGTAGTGGATGTTTCCAATGACAATGTAAACTTGCAAAACATTGAAGACCCAGCTGCTCATGATCAGATTCGAGTGTTGGGGTATTCGGTCAAAGGAAAAGTCGTCAGCGATGGACAACCGATCAAGGGCGTTCAGTTTGCTCTCTTTGCCAAAAACAGTCAGACATCGAGGAAAATATCTTGCGGAGACTCCAACAAGCCATCGTTTCTTTCAAAGCTGACACTTCCATCCCAGCTGAAGTATCTGTGCCATGCACTGTCTGATGCCGATGGCGTTTTCAAGCTAAAGGCCTTACCTGTGGGTCAGTATGTCCTTTACACGTCTTACGAGGCACAAAATATCCGCTTTGAAGTGACGCCCAACAAGTATGATTTTGAAGTAAAGCATGACGATGTTCAAATTATCGAGCCTTTTCAAATTGGCGGATTCACCATCTTTGGAAGTGTAATAAACCCTCTCAGCCCTCAGGACGCAGTAAAAGGTGCTGAAATACTACTGCTCGATAAAAGTGGCAAAAATGAAGCGATTCGAGTAAACGTTGATCAAAGCAAGGGCACATTTTCGGTGGACAACATCAAAACATCGAGTTATGTCATCAAAACCACTGCTCCTCACTACCAGTTCGAAGATCATTCCTTGTCCATCTCGCCAAATACCCCAAACTTGCCTGTTATTTCTCCGGTAAAGTT